ACAGAAAAGTGCAGCAGGAAGAATTAGACACAGGATCCGATTGATCATCTGGATTGCTTCTTATTCAAAACTAAAAGTACACATTTACATTCAAATAGCTGTTCTCCACAAATATATCACATTTCTCAACCCAAGCCATCCGTCTGTCACAGTCAATTACTATATCTCATGGAGAAACTCAACACAGTCAATACAAACACACAACGCCATCAAATAATACTCTCTATCAATATATCTATCTTTACCAAATATAACATATTATGGAGCTCAAATAATACTCTCTATCAATATATCTATCTTTACCAAATATAACATATTATGGAGCTCACATAAATACACTGTCAGTGTTAATAAACAAAAAACAAGGCAATGTGCCTGCAAGACTTCACTCAGGTGAACAAAACAGATTACCCTTGCGCAGCAGCTAACCTGCCTGCGAGCCTTCGCTCAGGACACCTTTACACACGGTGCGGCTGAAGCCCGCGAAAATGGCATCTATAGTTACCTGACAGTTTAGTATTTTTAAAATACCGTCCGTTACTATGTCAAAAATGCTCAAAACTTTCTGACACACTCTCCTAAACACCTCTAACATTATATCTCAGTTACACAAGTTAACATCGATCATTTTCATCATGTACTGACCTGTCGAAAACAGAAAAGTGCAGCAGGAAGAATTAGACACAGGATCCGATTGATCGTTTGGATTGCTTCTGAGGTGGGGGCGGAAGTGTCCCCCCTAAAATAACCCAGGTGTCACCGCTCAAATAAATCATACAATTATATGAATGTCACCAAAATGAATACAGATAATGTTGAGCTTTTCAAAACAATACATTCACTGTTTAGCAAAAATAAATAAAAGTAAATACATAAATAATTTTACCATTTTTGGGGTGTACCACACACGCTTAAACCGTGCTACGGGCTGCAGTGGAAATGCGCCAAAAGACACTGCTTTTAATGAGGGCAGCAAAACACATTTTTGCCAACTTAAAGGAAGGCCCTCCTAAAACTAAAACCTATATCACTTAATATCTACTCTTTATTAATCCATTAACACAATAAAAGCCAACAGTGGAAACTAGCACTTTAGGATTCAATTCTACAGAAATTAACATTTTAAACCCCGAAATATGTATTGCCTATGAAATGAAACCACTAACCCTAAAAGCATCATACCTACCTAAACCGATAGCTATTATTTTATATCTGGCTGATATTTTTTGGGTGTTTATTTGATAATGAATATCTAAAAGTCTGCCAGCAATCAGGGGTTTTCAAATGAAACGAAATGCCTCTCACACTCATGTCCGTCCTCCTCCAGATGGTGACCATGGAGGCCGGCTACCTTTTCCTGGGTTCCCGCCTCGGAAACTCTCTGCTCCTAAAGTACACCGAAAAACTTCAGGACACGCCACCTGAGGAGGGCAACGAGGATCAGGACAAAGAGAAGGATAAAGACAAACCGGTACGTGCAGCCTTTTGTTGTGAAGCACCTTCGAAGTGCGTATGTTGTTGCAGAATGAGTGAAAAGTATAAGGTGTTTCGTTGCATTTCGTTTTACCGGCTTCTCTTAAACATAGCCTATAAACTTTATATTTCTTTTTGAATTCCAGGAAGAACCACCGAACAAAAAGAAGCGAGTAGAATCTTCCGCCAACTGGACAGGTATGTTCTAAATACTGATATGTAAACAGGTTTTAGGCACAATGTTATTACAGAAAAACAACTAGGTCAAGAATCAGACAAAAGATCTGCACACTGTGTTCGTCAAAGTCAACTTTATTGTCAATCTTTCAGTTTGTGTGTACAGACCGAGAGAGATCGAAATACTGTTTCCCACAATCCCAAATACAAATATATATATTTATATATATATATAGGGAGGCATGTAGCGCGGTGGACTAGTGCGTTGGTGTTCAGATCAGGACAGGTTCAAACCCCACTGCAGTCAGCATGTCGTTGTGTCCCTGAGACACTTCACCCCAAATTGCTCCTGTGGGGATTGCCCACAGTATTGAGTATGTAAGTCGCTTTGGATAAAAGCGTCTAACTAGAAACATGTAATGTAATATATACAAATGTGTATATACACAATCAACAGACACAAAGAGGTTCAAATAAAAAATACCACACAAATCATAATAGGTGCTTTCACACCGGAGTGCTTTTCCCAGCAATAGTTCCGATAGTTCCTGGGACTTTGCGTTCACACCAAAAATATCTGGAACTAGAACTTTTTTCGGGAACCTTTCCTCCCTGTTTAGTCCCTGCTAGAGAGGTGGGGCTTCCATGGGGAAGAAAATGTTCCAATTTCTGATTGGCTGGGCGAATTGCAAACCACACCCCGTAAAACTCCGAAAGATTTTGTGAAGCCGCCATTTTATTTGCTCGCATTAGCATTATTAGCATTAGCCCAGCGCACCAACGGAGAGAGACTAACTTATGGCAACACAAAATAAAACATGGGAGCGGTGGAGATGAGGA